TATTAAATTAATATCCTTTTCGTTTCTAATAGGGATCGCAGTCCACTCGGATGAGTGACTCTTTACGACCACTTCCAGGGGATGAACGTCAAACAGATTGACTTTCCTCCGCATTTCTCAATTTCTCTTTATTTTCCTCTACTTTTTCCTTATTCTTTATGAGCCACGCTTCGTTAGTTCGCCACTGATAGCGCGCTATTCACGCTTGGCTTCCGTCCTGGAAGACGAATCGTCCTAATCCACTCTGAGATTTAAATCCCCGACAAACTGGCCTCGTTCGACTTCTCGAATCCTGGGAACGTATCCTGGAAATTGCGACGGCTCGAATCCCGCCGAGGCGATCTCCGATATTTGCAATATAACTTTGACGAGGCTTTGACTTTTACTCTTTTCCAGACTCGACTCGGAGATCACTCTCTCGAATATTACGGTTTTTCTCTATCGACAGGACACTGTAAATATCTATCAATCTTCCTCTGTCGATTTTCAACCCTTTGACTATTAAGAGCGCCTAAAGGCGCCCGACGTTTGGTCCAATATTGCCTGCACGGTCAGACGAATTTCGCCCATATGTCGAAATGGCTCCGTGTTCAAAGAGTTAAGGGTATTGGGTCGAACTATTACAATCTGCCTGACCTATCCAACTGTATGAACTGTTAAGGTGAAGTGACACCCCCCTCAAATCAGTCGATTCGAATAAGACACTTTTTTTAACCCTTTGGCTACTAAGAGCGCCTAAAGGCGCTCGACGTTTGGTCCAATATTGCCTGCACGGTCAGAGGAATTTCGCCCATATGTCGAACTGGCTCCGTGTTCAAAGGGTTAAGGGTATTGGGTCGGACTATCACAATCTGCCTGACCTATCCAACTGTATGAACTGTTAAGGTGAAGTGACACCCCCCTCAAATCAGTCGATTCGAATTAGGTGTTCAAAGTGTAGCACGGAAATTAACAATAAATGAACTGTTCGATTGATTTGATCGATTTTTTTTATTATATTTAATTACCTGTTAGTTATATTTATTTTCGTGTCTTAGTATCGTCTTGCCGAAAATAATTAATATGGAACATATGAGAGTATTTCCTAAAGAAATAATAAATAATAATTCCCGACGAATAAGAAGCTTCACTTCCAACGCACGTGACGACCATGAATTATTTGTTTACAAAAACAATTCATTTTATAAAATTCAATTACCTTCCTTCACGTCACTCTTTTGCACTCCAGACATCAGAGAGAGAAATCAACGTTCTCATATTGTTTTAAACATTTTTTTTTTTTATTAAAATTCGTGAACAGAGAAGATATTTAAACGAAGTTGATGGTTAAAGTGTAGCACGGAAATGAACAATAAATGAACTGTTCGATCGCACTTGACAGACTGCAAGATATCAACGCGTGCTTATCGATGATATCGAACTATATCGTGTTTTATCACAATCGGGTTTTATCACAACGAGGTAAATACATTGAAGAGCTTCCGCGAAGGATAATGAAAGCCTCGTCATTCGTGGAACAATGTTCAGTGAGGATTGAATATTAAATGCCCATCACAACTTTCCTTAAGGTGATGTGAAAGTGGCGTCGAAGAGGTTTTGTTTATAAAACTTTTCTCCCAACTCGATTTACCGAATAGTTTGAAACTTTACAACGTGAATAGGGAGACTATAAGGAAGGTCCTGAAACTCATGGAATTTCAATTCTTTTCAAATTTGTTTATAGGTATTTTAAAAATAGTTCATAAAAAATGAAATTTCCCGAGTTTTAGGACCTACCTTAGGGTCTCCATATTCACGTTTTAAAGTATGAAACGATTTGAGACACCCAGTCTGTAGAAAAGTTTTATGAACGATTGAGCTTTTGGATGCCACTTTCATATCCCCTTAAGATGATATGAAAGACGCTGAGAAATTTAATTGACGTCGATAAAATAAATATATACATATACCCTTTTTGACGGTAACGCCATTTTAGATGCTCGAGTGGTAACATAAGCTAGCGCGTCACGTTGCAATATTAATTATTGAAGGCTCTGATATGAGAAACGAAAGGGTCAGGACAATTTTACAACAATTTAGAACACTCTGGTAATCGATAAACTCTCATTTGAACGGGATAAAGGAAAAAAAAGTGTCTTATGCGCTTCTATGCCAAAACGATGGGAATACGAGGACTCGGAGTGAAAATTAAATTGACCTGGAACTCACAGATGGCGCAGGGTGTCCCTCTGCAGTCAATCAGGGCCTCAGAAATCATGAATCCAGAAGATTTCGGGAGTTTTACTTCGATTTCTTAATAATTATTGTAGGAAAACGACAGGTGGAGTATGCCATTTAGTACAATACCCAATATAATTCGACGCAGATGTCAATATTAAATCCAATAGAAATATTAATAGGAAAATCTTTTTTACTGACGTTGATCAAGCTCTTCGACGTGTTTTACTTCATCTTAAAAGGGTGGTAATGAGAGTTGGGCGGAAAGTTTTCCTGTGCGGTGCGACATTTATTTAAATATATTCAATTGACACGTTTGTTCCGATTTCCACGTATCAGGCTTCGGTGCGATTGGTAGGAGGGAATCGCTCTTGATAAGGAAGAATTTTTCATAAAGTGATTTCTTCCCGGGATTCCCTGAAAGGGCTTTGAAATCCTCTTCCTCGTTCTCTTTCCCATGCTTTTCAGAAGGGCTCGTGCAATCTGGGAGGTAAATGTTGCTGAATATTATTAAATGGCAAAATCAAAGCAATTACTTCGTCGTCATCCAGGTCCTTGGATTCCATTCCTGATTAATTGAACTTCACTTGTTAAGCATCGATCCGCTCTCTGTGGATGAAATAAGAATCAATATTTCGAAAAAAAAAAATAAGAATTCGTTACTTGATTCGCCAAATTATTGTTTTTGAGATTACTTGACTCGAAATCAGGATTTTCACAATTTTTACTTTTTCATGTTTCCTTTCTTTCTCCTACAAAATTAAAAATTCATCGATTGAAGGTATTATTTATGCTTCCAATTTTTTTTTTTTTTTAATTCAAGGTGAATTACTATAAATTAACGGGTCAGTGCTTTGCTCTGATGATTTTAGTGCTAATTTATAGTAACTCAAGGTGTAGAATAAAAAAATATATTTCAAAATACATTTCAATAGATATCTCTTAGGTATATTAATTAGATGTCTAAAATACGTCTAATATCTGACATTTTTTAGCCAGCTGTACGAAAGACGAATAAATTCAGACGTTTATTTGTTTACCGAGGGAGACGACATAAAATGGTTCATAAGGAGACTATTAGTCAACTTTTCGATACACTGATAAGAATCGATAGAAATTAGCATACATTTTGACACCCTTCATATCTTAAGTTTCACATAGAAAAACCGTAAAATCTCAGTATTGCAACTTTGAAAATGTATTAATACACCTAACATTGTATATTTACCGTATTCGTGAATTTTGACTTGAATTTGATGTAATATTACATTATGATTTTCTATCACTTAACTCAAGTACTGAATATGATATTACAGAGATTATGTAATTTTACTGCAATTTATCGTGACATAAAAATAACCAATGATTGAATATGTAAATTTACATGGGCAGTTTTTATCAGTGTAAGGTTCGTAGTTTTTATGTATTATAAATTTACATGGACAGTTTTTATCAGTGTAAGGTTCATAGTTGACTTATGACAAAATTTGGACATTTTTTATACATCTTTTGGACATCTTTTATACATCTTTTGTACATCTTTTGTACATCTTTTATACATCTTTTATACATCTTTTATACATCTTTTATACATCTTTTATACATCTTTTATACATCTTTTGTACATCGGCGTGTTGTCTAAATATACTTACTTCCCATTCCATGTTCCATTTGTCCTACGAATTGCTTTGCCATTTCTATTCCAGCATTGGGAATCTGCGCAGCTATCTCCTTATAATTACCTCCTTGTCCTGCAGCCATTTCCATGGGATTACCCATGGGATTACCCATGGGGCTATCCCGAGCGTACTGTTAACACGATTACATTTTACATTTAATTTTTACATAACATTTAGAATACAATTTTCAAACATTTTAAAACTATTTCAAATCTGGAAGCTCGGTAGTTTCGCGCCAAATACATTAAAAATTAATTCCCAAACGGCATCGAATATTTAAGGTGTTATGAAAGTGTCACACATACATACATAAAAAAATCTAAATATTTATAGAACTTTTCTTTAAACTGGGAGTAAAATTAATACTTTAATACGTAATTATGGATGTCCTGATGAAGGTCTTAAAACTCGAGAAATTTCATTTTTCGAGAAAAAAATGTGTATCCCAGAGAGGAACTAAAAAAAAAGTGTTTCTTTCGAAAAATGGAATTTTGTGAGTTTCAGGACTTTCATTAAGACTTCCGTAAATACGTGTTAAAGTTTTAAATTATTCCGTGCACCCAGCTTGATGGAGAGTTTTACAAATATTTCGACGTTTTGGTATATAGAATTGCGCATGCTTTCTTATGTATTTGGCGCGAAACTCTACCGAGTTCCCTGATGACCCTTTAATATCACCTTAACGTCACAGTTCGGCACTTCAGATTTTTCAATATTTATCTCCGAATTTATAATTTATGGGGGACATTTCAAAAGCGTTCTAAAAACTGAGAAAGTGAAATTCCGTAATCATAGATAATAATCCCCACGAGGAAATTTTTACATATTTGCTCTAAACTCTATCATAATATGCATAAATATTTGTTATTTCCTTTCACTGGAATATTCTGAAAGACTTTTAAAGTCTTGTCGGAGATATGGTAAATATTTAACATCTGCAGTTATTATTTCTTTACCCGCGTTTTTACATGAGTGCTTCGAAAACTTCATTTGACAGAGCTCCATTTACTTCCCTTTTCGTTGCATTTAGAGGAGAAATAAATAATCTTTATCCACTTACACGTGAGTGCACGTTGGTTTTTTGGGATGAAGGTTCACCGAGAGTGAGCTAAAAGAAGAGAGAAAATGCCTTTTAATAAACCTCCACCATCAGTACTAAGCTCATTTGCATTGAGATGAATCCTCGTTGGACGAGGAAAACGAGAATTCTCATATTTCCAATTCTTTTCCACATAATAATACTTCCCTAGTAGCACACAATATTTTTTTTAATATTGTCTCATATTTAATTAATATCCTACATTTTTCATATATTTATCAGGCGTTTGAAATATTTGCAAAACATTTACTTTAGAATATTGTTTTCCTATTTGTATAATATTAGCTTCGTGTGTTTTCATATTTTTTCTGTGGATGTATGAAACATTTCGTGCCACTTTAATATAAGTATTTTTTTTTTAAATATTGTCCGTCGGATTTATTATATACGCTTTCAAAATATTTCAAATCAAAATCACATGTTTTGTTGATATGAGGAAATAGTGGAACGAATATTTTGCAAAAATTAGGGATGAAACGTGTAAATTAGGGATTTCTTTGTACTTCCACACCTTAGTACTAAAAGTGTATGAATTTTATGAACATTTTTAACAGTGCATGCATAAATTAAAAAATGTTTACCATCGTTACACTTTTATATTAAAAGTGTACGAATTTCATGAATATTTTTAACAGTGCATGCATAAATTAAAAAAATTCTTACCACCGCCACGCAGAGCACAAAGAAAACGGAGGCCTTCAACATGGCGTCGGCGTCTTTTTCCTTCTTTCGGCTCCGCAAAAATTCAGCTCCTTTTATACTCGAGAGGACATTAAAAATCGCCATGATGGGCCAACATGAATCCTATCTACAATGAGAGATCATTGTCAGACAGGAAGTTGCACGATCGCGAATGTTGATCGGCCCGATTATGTAATAATGACACGAGATGTGTCAAATTGTCTCGTCATTATCCCAGTAGTCGGTATTATTTCAACCATAATTAACTCCCGACATGCGACGATTATCAAAATTGCGAATAATGAGCTTGCATGATTAATGCGCGGTTTTGCGTATTACTTTTGCGTTCCATCGAGACAAACATTGACAATAAAAACGACAAAAAAATATACTCGGCATTAATTTGGTCATGTACAATGGCGGACACGAATGCCTCCCCTGCAGATACGACATCGCCTGTGCAGGATGGGAGGGCATTGATGTCTCCCAATGTACAATGTGGACATGAATGCCTCCCCTGCAGATACGACATCGCCTGTGCAGGATGGGAGGGCATTGATGTCTCCCAGTGTACACTGATAAAAATGCCCATGTAAATTTACATAATCATTAGTTATTTTCACAATAAATTACAGTAAAATTACATTGTCTCTGTAATATTAAATTCAGTGTATAAGTTAATGAAAATTATAACGTAATGTCGCATTTAATTGAAGTAAAAATGCGCTAATACGATAAATATACAATTTTATGTGTATTTATAATTATATAATATATTAAGAAATTTCATGAGCGTCGCGTTCTTCCTTAGAGCCTTCATAATCACGTGCTGAAATGTCAAATGACTCGATGCACCTCCTAAGAGAAAAGTTTTATAAATATTTTGACGTTTTATATATACAGAATGTATATTTTTTACTGCCTTACCCCTTTTATACCGCCTTAAACGTGATGAGCATTTTATTTTATAACGTACTTCAATATCCGCGTATCTCTCCCCGTATGCGCGAACTTAACCAACTACCTATCTAACGCTCTCCCCTCCTCAGCCCTCTTGGAGACCAGTGCGTCTCTCTCTCCCATGCGCTCAATGAGTGTGAGAAGGACGCTCCGATACACGAGAAGACCGCGGTCTCCCGCCTCCCCCGGCCCTGCCTGCCCCTCACCCGTGGATGAGTCTCCCTTGATAAATCGATAAGAAGCATTCATTCTCTCAGTCCGTGCAAGTTCGCGCAAGTCTGTGCCTGTGTCAAGGGATTCATTAAGAAGAATATACGCGGAGAAAAGCTTCGCCCTCTTCGGCAACCGGCTAAATCGACTAAATAACTTCCCGAGGTGCATCGAGGTGGATTCTCCGCGTTTCGGCCGCAGTCGTCTGCTACGTGCGCCGCGCCGCGCCCGACATAACCTCACTTCTCGGCCTCGAGGGCCGTTTTCGGGTTTTCTCTCGCTTACGCCGATCATGCCATTTCCGTCTCTTCGTTCCATCGCTCGGTCCTCGTCGCTCTCTCCGTATGCGGCCCGAGTTCGGCTCGTTTTTGCCGATCGTGGGACCTTTATTTCACCAATCATAAGGCCACTTTCTCCGGCGCTTTCGCGAGCCCTCTCACCGCGCTCTCCGCCGCGGCGATAACCTAAGATTCCAGTCACGCGGGTTGACGTTTCTAGAGACCTAACCTCGAATTCGTATATCCGTGAAACGACGAATTGCAGATATAAATTCCGAATTATCGCAATACTTTGAAAATTGGATACGGTGCTGGCAAAACTGCGGGCCAAAGTAAGCGCTGACTGCGCTAAACTAACAGATCAGCGAACCTAACCTCACTCCGACACTTAGCGGCTGTTTTTTAATGGTGTTTATGCCGGTGATGCCAACACGTGTATGTGATTTGTGTTAGAATTCTGACATTCTCTCGTAATTTGTGTCTGGACTGCAAAATCAAATATTGAGGCTGGGATTTATTTTGCATTCCGTGTGGGAAGCTAACCCTACTTCGAATTAAAATTGAAGAAGGGAATTGAAGATTGGTTCAGGTATCTATAAACATATAAAGGTCATAATAAGTGGTGGGTCTCCGCTGCCGATTAAGTTTACGTTGGTCTGAGATTTGGTTTTGAATTCAGGTGCGACGAGATCAAGAATCTGGATTCTGTGTTTCTTCTCAGTTTATGTTTACAGCGGAGATGTTAGTGTGATATTGGGCAATGTAAATTAAGTTATGGTCGGAGTATCTAGTGATAGGTTAGGTTTTTGAGCGTGGCGTTGATCGCCTAGAAGAGGAGGATGAGACTCGTCGATTTAGAGAAGCTTAGCGAGCTTCAGAACGACTCCAGCCGCATCCGTAATATCTGCATTCTCGCCCATGTGGACCATGGCAAGACAACACTGGCAGACTCACTGGTTGCGAGCAATGGGATCATCTCTGGGAAGCTTGCTGGCAAGCTGCGTTACTTAGACAGTAGGCCGGACGAACAGCTACGTGGGATCACCATGAAGTCGAGCTCCGTCACTCTCTATCATCAGTATGAAGATTCAGAGTTTGTAGTGAATCTTATAGATTCTCCTGGCCATGTTGATTTTGCCTCCGAGGTGTCTACTGCTGTCAGACTCTGCGACGGCGCGATCATTGTTGTCGACGTCGTCGAAGGAGTCTGTCCACAGACACGGAGTGCCTTAGCGATGTCATACGTCGAAGACTTGAAGCCCATTTTAGTATTGAATAAAATCGACAGGCTTATTACAGAGACCAAGCTCTCACCTTTAGATGCTTACATACACTTGACGCAAGTCCTGGAGCAAGTCAATGCAGTCATGGGCGAGTTGTTTGCTACGGACGTCATGGAACGGGAGGAGAAGGAACAGCGGATCGAAAGAGAGCCGGAGGATATCACCGAGAGAGGTTTATCCGACTGGCAGTCTGTGCTCGAAGAGGCAGACGACTCTAAGTTATACTTCTCGCCAGAACGAGGGAATGTCCTGTTCACTAGCGCTGTGGATGGTTGGGGCTTCGGTGTGAAGGAATTTGCCAAAATGTTCTCGCAGAAGTTGGGGTTTAGCGAGAAGGTTCTGCTGAAGACTCTGTGGGGCGACTTTTACTTCAACGGCAAGACTAAAAGGATCATGAAAGGAGCTCAGGCTAAAGCCAAGAAGCCATTGTTTGTGCAGTTGATTCTGGATAATGTCTGGACACTCTACGAGACTGTAGCGATCAGGAGGGATAAGGAGCGAATGCTGTCGATGATAGAGAAGCTTAACGTTAAATTAACTACGAGAGATTTGAGACACACCGATCCTAAAGCCCAGCTGCAGGCTATTTTCACTCAGTGGTTGCCACTAGCTCGAGCTGGTCTCGACATGGTGTGCGAAAGGATTCCTGCTCCGAATGATTTGACTGAAGAAAAAATCGAGCGTCTCATGAGTGGGAACAGCGACTTCGCAGCACTTCCTTCGGAGACTCAGTCTCTAAAAGATGCTTTCTTGGCCTGCAGCTCCGACTCGGAAGCACCACTTATAGTGTTCATATCGAAGATGTTTCCAATAGAGAGGAAGTTACTACCAGAAAATAAATTGAAGCCTTTGACTCCGGAGGAATTGGCCCTGCGGAAAGTGATAGCTCGTCAGATGCATACTTCGAAGCTGAGGGATCGCTCTCAGGAATCACGGTCTAGTGAAGAGACAGACGGAGAGTTGGAAATGTGCGAAGAGAAGCGCGAAGCTGAAGAGGATTCGGAGAATGTGTTGATAGCGTTTGCTAGAGTGTATTCGGGGACTTTGAGAAATGGTAGCGAAGTTTATGTGTTAGGACCGAAGCATAATCCGAGATTGGCTTTGGAGCGTCAGAGGGCAGGCGAAACTGTACAACATGGAACTCTGTTGAAGGATTTGAAGCCTGGTTGGTACATCACTAAGGTTACCATAGAGAAACTATATCTCCTAATGGGGAGAGAGCTGGAACCGGTAAGCCAAATGACAGCGGGTAATATAGTTGGAATTGGTGGTTTGGAAGAACATGTCTTAAAAACTGCTACTCTCTCCTCGACGATAGCTTGTCCATCCTTCTCGGAGTTGACAGCTCTCGCTGTGCCCATTCTGCGGGTGGCTCTGGAACCGAAGCATCCCACCGATCTTCAAAGACTCATCGCAGGCCTCCGATTACTCAACCAAGCGGATGCTTGTGCAGTGGTTCACATTCAAGAGACCGGAGAGATTGTGCTCGACACTGCTGGCGAAGTACACTTGGAAAGGTGTCTCGAGGACCTTCGATTGAGGTATGCCAAGATCGACATCAATGTCTCGGAGCCAATCGTCTCGTTTAGAGAGACTATAGTTTCTCAACCAAAGACCGATATGGTCAACGAGGCTATTGAAAAGAAGGCAGAGGAGGCCAACCTCGAGACTTGGACCACCAATGGCCTGTGCGTTTTTGTAATCGATGCGAAGCCTCTTCCAGAGAGTGTTACAAAGATCCTGGATAAGAGTTCTGAGTTGATTAAATTGTTGGATCAATCTTATAAGCACAAGGAGGAATCGAGTCAAGGAGCACCAGACATTTCCAAATTATCCCTGGAAGAAGCGGCATTGACGGATAAAAAGCAAAAAGCAATCGAGAGTTTGAAGACGGACCTGAAGAATGCCTTCGAAGAGGCAGGCTGGGGAAACGTGCTGGAGAAAATCTGGTCCTTCGGACCTCGTAAGTGTGGACCCAACATTCTGCTCAACGAGACCGACTACAAGCGAAATCTTTTCTGGGAAAGGCCTACAAAGTCTTCGGATCCTCGATTGTTGTAAGTTACTTAAGTTAAATCCATTTTATATCTACTGAAACTAGATCGAAGCAGATACAGTCTCTTTTTCATCGAGGAGTATTTTCCATTCGGATTTTAATTTCTTTTGTATGTACTCTGTCAGATATTTAAATCCTAAACCTCACATACAATGTTTTAAATATACCCTATTTTTTTTAAATTAGATATGACAACAACATGATCAATGGTTTCCAATTGGCTACGCTAGCTGGTCCATTGTGTGAGGAGCCGATGATGGGAGTCTGTTTCCTAGTGAAGTCTTGGAAAATCATCGAAGACCCTAATAGGTACGTAATGTCACCTCCATCGCAACACCATTTATTGTAGATATTAAGAAACTACCTAGTCATTATCTGCGATGTTTAGCCTGGCGCGTCGAATTGGACAAAGAATGTCGCTTTTCGAACCTCTTGAGTGAGTAATGTCAATTTTAACCAGGGCATCGCGATTCGACTATTTTTCTGCGTTTTTTAAGCTATGAAACCGATTGGTACATTCAATACAGAGATATGCAATTTAAAATATTTCACTTCGCATGGGTTGCTTGAATTATATTTTATTCAATTATCCTTTATAACGTTATTTCTATTGCAGCGAAGGAACAATCCAAACCCAGAGTCACTTCGGTGGTCAACTTATGTCAGCGTGCAAGGAAGCTTGTCGTCGTGCATTCAGTCTGCGAAGACCTCGACTTGTCACTCCGATGTACTCCTGCAGCGTTCTGGTAACCTCAGATGCCCTCGGTGAGTTTCTCTAAATTAATACAACTAAAACCGAAGTAACCTATTCGGTTGCTGCCACTATAAAACGCAAAGTCTAGTAATTAGGGCCTGTTTACACTCATCGAATCTCGCGAATTTTTACCCCCCTTACCGTATAACTTCAAAGTAAGCCACGAGAGGCACAGCTGACAGTTTAGCACAAATGCGCATGCGCAAAAAAGAAAAAAACGTTGCCATGATGTCGTTTGAATGAAACATTCACGGTTCATGTCAACGTGCAATTATAAAACCTGCCTGGTTATGGATGTTGAAGTTACGCAAATTAATTTCAAATCAATTCGGAAATTCTTGCTGAAAGTTGCGGACAAATTGCCGTATGTGTCATAAAACGTAAAGTTTATTAGATAAATGATCATTTTCCTTTACGTACGTTACATTTGTGTAAAGAAATTACGTAATTTAGAAAGATAAAATGTTTTGAATACCCCGCGAAAAATAACGTAGGCTCAGTAGCGACACGGTGGTTTGCTCTGGAACTACTGCGAATAATTTCGGGGATGGGGTAGGGGAGTCGCCAGTCTATAGGTATCTTTTCTATGGTTGTAATTGTCCTTTATTGTCTTCTTTACTGACATCGTTAATTATGTACAACGGAGAACCGATGGCCATTCACCTTCTCGCCGTAAGCCAAATAAGTGTAACGCGTTTCCGCGGTTTCGTTCTCACGCGACTTAATTATCCGTAAATCGACATTCCGTTCGAAGAAAGAGGATTTTGCCCTGTTCCATCAACCTCGGTTAAAAAGCTAATCCTCGGTTACAGCGAGTTGCACGTTCCGCCACATTTTAACAGCGGATTAATTTCCACTAACCGTCGTTTAGAATAACCAGCCATATTCGATCGCTTAGCTTCAGTTAATCGAACTTTAACCTAGAAACTGCGCAAACGGGAGGAAGATTAAATTAGATGTTAACGTTAACCTATGGTTAGGTAATCGATGATTTAACCGCGCTCTAAATAAATGTGGGGAACGTTTAGGTTTTCAACCCATCATTAAATTAGATGTTAACTTTAACCTACGGTTAGGTGATCGATTATTTAATCGAGGTTTGTGGAACCGGGGATTAGTCGCCGTCGAGATAGTAAACTTTACAGTTCAGTGAAAATAACCAAACCTTTACTTATCTGGCAGATATCTTTATCTGGAGGATATCTATCCGCGAGAATGAAAAAATCCGGCGTTAGATGTTAACTTTAACTTACGGTTAGGTGATCGATGATTTAACCGAGGTTTGTGGAACCGGGGATTAGTCTCCGTCGAGATAGCAAGCCCTACAGTTCAGTGAAAATAACCGGAGGATAGCTCTCCGCGAGTATGAAAAAATCCGGCGTTAGATGTTAACTTTAACCTACGGTTAGGTTACGTTAACCTATGGTTAGGTAATCGATGATTTAACCGCGCCCTAAATAAATGTGGGGAACGTTTAGGTTTTCAACCCATCATTAAATTAGATGTTAAGTTTAACCTACGGTTAGGTGATCGGTGATTTAACCGAGGTTTGTGGAACTGGGGATTAGTCTCCGTCGAGATAGCAAACCCTACAGTTCAGTGAAAATAACCGGAGGATAGCTCTCCGCGAGTATGAAAAAATCCGGCGTTAGATGTTAACTTTAACTTACGGTTAGGTGATCGATGATTTAACCGAGGTTTGTGGAACTGGGGATTAGTCTCCGTAGAGGGTATTAAGCTTAGCTTCGCATCGAATTAAGTCGACCCGAAGCGACGAGACATTTGATTCGGTTAGTCAGACTACGGATCTACTTTCCGCCCTCGCAGAGACGTAACGTCGCATGCATATCTATCTCGTGTGTATAATTAGCGCACAATATTAATAATTAACCTGCGGGTAAATATGTATATTTTGGAGGCGAATCTTACTTGGGCCTGTCCCTACCGTCTCGCGTCGCCGAGACGTCGCGTTTTGTTAATACCTCTCGCGCCGCTATGGACAACAGTCTAGCTTAATTATTAGAAATATAAATTAATTGTTAGGCGAGTTAATGGTAGCGACAGAGAAAGGGGCGAGGAGGGGGTGTTCCAGGCGATGGGTTCGGGGAAATGGGCGGAATTCCCGGGGCAACTCGCTCCTGCATTACTTTCGCGCACGTGGAAACGCTTCTGCGGTTTTGGCTTAAGGTGGCCGCACAAGTGACGATCTAGCGTCGCGACAAATCAGTTTACACCGATTTGTATTGATTTAACCGACTCGTGGATGTTATGACTGATGTGTAGACACTAACTGCGAGTTTCTTCATTAACCTTTTCGCTACGGCGGCCCTCGCGGTGGAATCCCTCCCGTAGAAGGGGCGCCGCAACAAAAGCATAAGTCGTAGCGAAAGGGTTAAAAGAACTCGGTTTAACTGCGCAGATTGTAAGTCGCTACGATTTATCGTTATGTGTGTACCCATTTTAAAGGTGGTCACCTTAAGGTGAAGTGAAACACGTCGAGGAACTCGATCGACGTCGGTAAAAAAGCTTTCTCTAAATCCCTGCGTCGTCGACGTTCGTTGTTATATCGATAGCCGTGTCGAATTATATTGGGTATTGTACAAAGTTGCATAATCCATATATCATTTTCGTACAATAATTATAAAGAAATCGATGTAAAACTCCAGAAAATCCTCTGGATTCATGGTTTTCGACGCCGTAATTGACTGCAGAGTGCCGCCCTGCGCCATCTGTGACTTTAGTTCCAACTAAATTTTCTCTCCGAGACCTCGTGTTACCATCATTTTAGCATAGAACCGCATAAGACACTTTTTTTTATCTCTATCCCGTTGAAATGCGAGTTTCTCGATTACCAGAGTGTTCTAAATTGTCGTACAATTGTCCTGACCCTTTCGTTCCTCATATTAGAGCCTTCAATAATTGTATATCGATCGAAATACGAGACCTCGACGCCATTTTGGTTCTGGTCTGGGCTAAAGGATCTCTTTTCGTTTCGGACGGTTCTATCCAGTACCCTTAAAAAAAGTGCCTTACGCGAGTCTACTGATTCGAGGGGGGTTTCACTTAACCTTAAACCCATTAGCGATTTGGCGCGAGACTCTGCCGAGTTTCCTTATCCCTTATTGATAGCGATCGCACCTCGGCGCACTACTTTCGCAACGGTTGCCGATATATCGCAGTTGCAGCAGCTACGTGTTCTCCCTCTCGTGGTAACAAATAGCAGTAATTGAATTCCCGAGATAGCACATCTTCGGCCGGGAGAGTAGCCGTATCGAATCGGTGCCGGAGTGCCGACGCAAGTGCCCCATCTCGGCGCGGCCCGAAAGCACTGTTTACTCTACGAATTGCGCCACATTGGCCCCGTAAAAAGCGGGATAATGGACGGTAACGAGGCGCGAAGTGTTTCTTAATTCTCGGCCGAGGCGTCTCCTGCGAAATCCGCGGAAATCCCCCGGCATTTTGCCCGTGGGAGCCTAGCGGGACGTATAGAGTAACCGTCCGGTTTACGGTTTTCTCGAATGCTGCCCGGACGGCGTACGGTTTTCACGGATTTACTAAACCTCTCCTCTTGGTTCGAGCCGTTTCGGTTCGGCGATCCGAACCGTAACTTCGTCGTTCCGTGGAGTTCGCCTCGTTTACCGCCGTACGATCGATTCCTTCGCGGAAGTCGTAGAAAGCCCGTGAGAAATCGGTCTGGTCGCCCGACGGTGGCGCCGCGCGCGGCGCCCTCGGGAGGTTCCGGGAGGTTGTTCGAACCACGGAGTCACTGATCTGTACTTTAGGGGTACCTATGAGTAATGAACCTTCTTTTTTACGTCTAAATCACCTCTTTCGGAATATAATTAACTTATGGGTACCCCTAATTATTAACGCTCATCGAGAGACGTAGTGTGTCACAAGGAAGGTACCTGTGGTGTCCTCCTCCGATTTTCTTCATTTTTAAATATGTTATAGAGGACTAAAATCTAAGGGACTCGTGTTTTTTTTTTTTCTCATCGGCGGATAAACACTTTTAGGGGGTGAAATCAGGCTTCAATGTTGGCCGTGCAAGGGGGTGGGTTGGCTGTTTCATATAGAAGCACTCGACCGATTTTCATGAAACAACCGTCAAAATGTAGGGAATGAAGAATTATGAGACATGCATTTGGAATTTTTTGAAAAAATTCATTCTTAAGGGGTGAGCCACCCCTTTGAATACTTCTTTTACCCCTTACGCGAGCAGTAATTGTTCTATCCAAATGAAACTTTTTTTGTATTGTTCTGGACTAGAAATTAACCAAGATTTCATTTGGATAGAGCAATTACCGCTCGCGTAAGGGGGAAAAGAAGTATTCAAAGGGGTGGCTCACCCCTTAAAACTGAATTTTTTCGAAAAATTCCAAATGCATGTTTCATAATTCTTCATTCCCTAAATTTGACGGTTGTTTCATGAAAATCGGTCGAGTGCTTCTATATGAAACAGCCAACTCACCCCCTTGCATGGCCAACTTTGAAGAGGTTTCGTTTATAAAATTTTTCTCCCAACTCGGTTTACCGAATAGTTTGGAACTTTACAACATGAATGGGGAGACTATAAGGAAGGTCCTGAAACTCATGGAATTTCAATTCTTTTCAAATTTGTTTATTGGTATTTTAAAAATAGTTTATAAGAAATGAAATTTAAAGAGTTTCAGGACCTACCTTAGGGTCTCTATATTCACGTTTTAAAGTATGAAACGATTTGAAACACCCAGTCCGTAGAAAAGTTTTATGAACGATTGAGTTTTAGGATGCCACTTTCACATCCCCTTAAGGTGATATGAAAATGGCGTCGAAGAGGTTTCGTTTATAAAACTTTTCTCCCAACTCGGTTTACCGAATAGTTCGGAACTTTACAACATGAATAGGGAGACTATAAGGAAGGTCCTGAAACTCATGGAATTTCAATTCTTTTCAAATTTGTTTATTGGTATTTTAAAAATAGTTTATAAGAAATGAAATTTAAAGAGTTTCAGGACCTACCTTAGGGTCT